GCGGCTGGTCAATTCGAACTGCTGACCTTTTGGTTAGCAGCCGAGCTAGGAAAAGGGAACCATAAAGATGTCACTCAAGAATGGATTGAAATGATAGGATTATGTTTGCTTTTTTGCATCTCTCCCTCTCATTTTTAAATACAGAGCCTCTGGCCTTTGTTTTTCAGTAGAGCAATGAAAACTGGAGAATGTCTCCAAGCTCTTTTTGAGGTCAGTTGGTGCCACATTCAGCTATGGTTTCAAAACTTTAGGGAAAAAAATGATACTGGCATGGAAAAGAAGAAAATAACCATGGGTGTTTGTACAATTAAAAGACTTCTAGTCTTGGTAATATTGTGACTTTAGTCTTAAAACACCAAATAAGAAACTCTACTTACCTCCTTTCCCTTTAATGACATCCAAGTACATTTGGAACACTGATAAGAAGAATCTTTTGTATCTGATAAAACAGGGCAATAACCATAAAGTATTAGGATTTGAACCAACTGCCACCCCATTCCCAGCCCATTTATGATATGTCACATATGTTCCCTGATAATTAATGAACAAGTTTTAATTATTATGTTTTAACTCTCAGCCTTTGTCTACCTATACTATGTAGCATTGGAGATGAAGTCAGGTATCACATGTAACAGAAATATATATGAAATATGTGTTGTTGTTCGTTGTCATCCAATCAGTTCCTACTCATGGTCACCCCAACAGTGCAGAGTAGAACTGCCCCATAGGGTTTTCAAGTCTGTGACTTTTCAGAAGCAAATCACCAGGCCTTACTTCTGAAGCACCTCTGGGTGGGTTTGAACTGCCAACCTTTCAGTTAGTAGTCCAGAGCTTAGCCATTTGTACCAAAAAAAAAAAATTTTTTTTTTTCCTCTGATATATCCACTTTCCTCCCGTATGTCCAGATATATAATGGAGACGATTTAGGTGGCTAGGATTATCTGGTTGATTTCACTTTTCTCCTTGCATGAACATATAGCATCAAGCTGATTTGTTTGTACCCATCATATGCTACAATGTCTGGGCAAAGGTACCAAGATGAAAAATCCGACAGACAAGTACTTGTGCTATTCACCATATCCAGGTCTCTGGTTTACCCTCTACTTGATGTGTCCATAATAAATCCCTTGCTAGTTCTGCTCCCATACCAATGGATAGAGCAATACCCACTTCCTCCAGCAGTTCATCTGTTGATGCCATTATCCATTGTTTATGACATTGCAACCACAGTAATGAATTGATATGGCTTGATCTTTGAAATGCTTAGACAGGAGGCCACACATTATAAGAAGAAACAACATCAAGACTCAACTCTATTTGCCAGGGGTTGGAAATGGATATTGTGCAGGAAAATGCATTAAAGGGTTTTGTTTAACATTATGGTTTTAAAGACATAAGCAATTATGATGGGCAATAATTCCTTCAGTCAGTATATTGTAGAAAGGCCTTACTTAAACGAGGGTGCTGGTGTGATTCCAAGTCATGCTACCACCAAAAAACACTAGGGGTCGCCATATTAATACCAGTGCCCTGGCTCCATTGGCCTCCAGAACGCCCACCATCACAGAATTCTTGGCTCCTGGTTTATTCAGGGAATGTTACTCAGTGCCTATTTTTCATGAGGTGTGACCACTTGTCACCACTGAAATAGTGGGGTAGAGTCTTCTCTAAACATCCTTCTGGTGAATGATATTTTTAAGAGCCACCTGAATTGATCAATCCATTATTTTGGGTTAGACATAATTACAAGGGGTGTGCAGCCTGGTTACCCAAATATGGAACATTTTCATTCAAAAGCGACACAGTATTCCAATTCAGATGTTCTACTAAGGACTGATTCTCTCAAACCAGGGTAGCACTTTTTCACTTGCCAGGATTGACACTTCTGTTGAGTGTTAGCTGAAAAAATAATGTCTTTTCCTTTGTTTCTCACCTTTTTATCTTTTCAGTACCCAGTTCAGAAATGATTTTCCTAAGAAGAAATTTGAGCAGTTGTCTGTAACCCCTAGACGTGTTATCACTAGGGTCTATCACAGTCTCTAGCATCAGGATGGAAAAGTGCTGGCCCATGCCCATAGGGGGCCCCAACCTCATAGTGATATGACTCTGCTTACTCCTATTGCAGTCTTGAGGGTAATCCTACCCACTCCACTACCCTAAGCTGGAAGCTCTAGTTATCTCATTTGGGGTAGAGCTTCTGAAGGTTAGGATTAAAGCAGCTGAAGATCTGTGAACAGCATTTAACCTCTCCCCACCCCCCGCAAAAAAAAAAAATAAAAACAATATTTCAAGGATAAAGATGGCAATTGTTAATATTAAGATCATAGCCTAGATAAAGTATGCTTCTAAGACAAAGTACATTTCAAAGCTTCTGGTTTTTTACATAGTCTCTGTGTTTCTGTTTCATTTGTTTATTGAGTACCTAATATATGCAAGGCATAGTCTAGGCAATGAGGAAGACACGAAGATATACATGTACAAAGAAGGTAACTAATGGTTACAGTTTTCTCTTTCCTCTCCTCTTCATGTGTGCAACTGCTTTCCTCAAACATATCCTCTCTTTACCCACCACTTTTTTTTTTTTTAAATTGTGCTTTAGGTGAAAGTGTATAGCTCAAGTTAATTTCTCATACAAAAATTTATGCACATATGTTATATTAGTTGCAATCCCTATCATGTGACCATAATGTGACAACACACGCCCCCTTTCCACCCTGGGTTTCTTATGTCCATTCAACCAGTTTCTGTGCTTCCCTGCCTTCTCATCCTGCTCCAGACGAGGACCATTTGGTCTCGTGTATCTGCTTGAATGAAGAAGCACACTCTTCACGAGTATTATTTTATGTTTTATAGTCCAGTCTAATCTTTGTCTGAAGCGTGGGCTTCGGGGGTTCCTGCAGTCTCAGTCATACCACTGAGTCTGGTCCTTTTACATGAATTTGAGTTCTGCTCCACACTTTTCTCCTGCTCCATCAGGGACTCTCTGTTGTGTTCCCTGCCAAGGCGGCCATTGGTGGTAGCCAGGCATCATCTAGTTCTTCTAGTCTCTGGCTGATGGAGTCTCTGATTTATGTGGCCCTTTCTGTCTCTTGGGCTAATATTTTCCTTGTGTCTTTAGCGTCTTCATTCTCCTCTGCTCCAAGCGGGTTGGGACCAATTGATGCACCTTAGATGGCCAACAGCAAGCTTTTAAGACCCTAGACGCCACTCACCAAAGTGGGATGCATAACATTTTCTTAATAAACTTTGTTATGCCATTTAACCTAGATGTCCCCAAAACCATGGTCCCCAGACCCCAGCCCCAGCTACTCTGTCCCTCATAGTGGTTGTGTTCAGGAAATTTCTTAGCTTTTGGTTTAGTCCAGTTGTGCTGACCTCCCCTGTATTGTGTGTTGTCCACTGCTTCTTTCTAACCCTGTTAATCATGGTCTTTTGCTTTCTCCTGCATTTCTTCCTGCTCTGGACTCCTCATCACTTACCATCACCCATCCTCTATCTCTCTCAAGACCCTTTAACTGGACATAACAAAATAAACCAAACTATGTTTTGTAGTATTTGTTTTTTCCCTGTACTTGATTTTTAAAGCAGGTATTTCTTTCTCTAAGAAAAGAAAATGCTGATACTACTTTGACTTTTGTGTGTAGCCTTCACTCAATTTTTTTTTTCCAGTGGGTTATCAGCCTTTAATAGAAAGAAAAATAACCTCCCCTTTTGTCCTCTGGAATATCCACCGTTTGGTTTTTAAAAAAAAAAAAAAAAAAAAGTGATTTGGGATATTTTTACATAACAAACTAATTTTGCAAAGCCAGTGGTAGAGAGGTAGAGAAATAAACCAAGAACACACAAAAGGTTGGTATTTGTTAACTAGGTATGTGGGGAGACTTGAAATATGCTTCTGTCTAACCTGAAAATTAAACTCTTGTTGGTCCAAACCTTAATTCCTACCAAATTACAAGGAAGTCTTCCAGAGTATAATCATATCGAAGAGTATATTTGCCATTATTTGTTTTTTAAGTTATTCCAAACACTAACCTATAAACACTGTACATAAGAGATTTCTTCACCCAACTTGAAATAAGGTAATTTTCACTGTTAACTAAGAGACTCATGATTTTGACCTTCCATTTCTCCAGAATTGGGTAATTCTTAACCAAGTGATTTTTTTTGGCTATTTGCAGCTGCCATGGGAATAGAGACACAGAGAGAATTTCTCCAAGGCTCTCTCAGGGCAGTGTGCATTGTGCTTGGACAAAAATTGGTGATGATGTGCATTGAAGGTGTACTACTCAAGAAAGAGATTCTATAAGGTCAAGTTTGGGTTTAATTATATCACACGTTTTGTCTTCTTTTTTGACCTCCAGTTGATAGTAACCACAACAAAATTTTCTAATCAGATGCTTATCTTTACTATATCCATAGCTGTACTTGGGTGGTTCTGATGACCCCGTGAAAAAGAAGGCAATCAAACAGAAGTTCCTGACCAAGGGTCTATGGATTCCATTCCGTGGATGGGCTGAAATCTCCCAAAAACATAAATGAATTTTGGGCATATGTTAACTTTTCTGTGGTGAGAGAGGCTGTAGCGTTTATCATTTCCTCAAACAAGTCCATGCCTTCCAAAAGCTTAAGAACCAGTGAGCCAGAAGCTCTTGACTTAGTGAGGTCTTTCATAGCTGAATCAAGAATCTCTTGGTTGGGCTTCATCACCACATGGGCCAGAAAAATTATATTAAAAAATTATATTAATAATTATTGAGTGTTTACTATGTGCCAGGACACTGTTCTAAGCACATTATATGTATTCATTTAATCCTTATCAGGTAGGAGCTATTATTGTTCCCATTTTATAGATGAGGACACTGAAGCCCAGAGAAGTAGGTAACTTGCCCAAGATACAAGATTTGGAAGTGGCAGAGTTAGGACATGAACAGAGTCTGGCCCCGGAGTCCATGGGGCTTAATCAAGTACTTAACCATTGTGCTTTACTTCCACTTGACTGAAGGGTATTCCAGCCAGGGCTTTCCTCTTCAAAACAAAACAGAACCAAAGACTAAGGAAATGTCAGCACTAAAATGTGAGCTAGAAAGTAAACCTTAACTTGCCTCACCCCACTCCTCGTTCCCAGGATGCTGTCAATTCAGGCGAACACCAGCAAAATGCCAAGGTGTTCCGTGGTGCTAGTGAGGTGCCAAGGCTAAGCAGGTTGGTTGATCATCAGCCTTCAGGACCCATAACACACTACCTCTGAATACCATTTTCCAGTTGCCAATCCACAGTCTCATTGCTCCTTTCATTTGATGTTTCCCACGCCCTACAAAGAAGAGTGGAGATTATTTTACAGACTAGAAAACTGCCCAGAGAGATTGCACCTCCCCAGGGTCACAGTACTAGGTTATAGCAGAGCTGTTTCTAGAACTCAGGCATCCGGACCTCCCAGTAAAGTCCTCTTCCCACTGCTTTTTACTGTCTCACCCGTCAATATATCACTTGACATTAAATAAAGCAACACCTAAAAAGACAAGAATTCTACACGCACCGCTCTAAGCTGCCCTGGGCACCTTTTTATTTGCAGGCATTTAGTAGGCAACGCCCTGGATCAATATAAAGCAGTTTAGTTTCGTTATCTCATTTAATCCTCAAAACCACCCAGTGAGGTAGCTATTTCCAATTGCACCAACAAGGAAACCGAGGCTTAAGAGCATAGCTAGTAAGTAACGAAATACAGCCTTCAGACCCAGATGTGTCTGACTGTCCAGCGTTTGCTGTCCCCCACTGGGCCGAGAGACAGGAAAAAGCAGAAGAGGAAGTGAATGGCCCTGTTCTATGAAGAGCAATGCTTTCTACCTTCTCTGAGGAGGATGCGAACGGGAAATCTGTTTAAAGCACTAGCACATGAGGTTAAAATTAAAGAGAACAATTACAAGCGATTAGTCACTGGAGTGGGGCTCCATGGGCGTCTTCAAAAATAGGATCAGATCTCACTCACTTGGACCTGGCACAGAGGAGTCTTCAAAGAAGTCTTTTCTAGGCCTGAGATTCTGTGATTAACTGTTTCAAAGGAGCCAGGCTACTAGAGCTCATTAGAAACAATAACCCCATTTCTCAGGGGCTGTCGAGTCATGTGGGTCCCAAGGAAATTTCTTTGGCACCCAGTGATGATGAAATTCACACCGGAGCAGCTGGCACTGGATCACTGTCCTCCATTGAGTCCTCAGGAAGGGAACAGTCACTCAGCCTTTGTGTTCTGGAAACCCAGGAAGCTGGGCAGCAGGTGGTTCAGGTTTCAGCTCCTCTGACTGCACCATTTCAAACAGTTGCTCTTCCTACATTTTAATTCATTCCAAGGTCCTCAGAGAAGCATCTGAATAAAAACAAACGGATGAGGAGGGCTCTGAAATGGCGGTGGAATAAGGTGTTTGAGGAGGAGATAAAGGGAGATCTGAGCCCAGGGAAGGAGACTCCAGGAGCTGCAGCCAAAGCAACAAATGTCCCTCACGTGCCAGCTGGGCCGTGCCGGTGCCAGGGCAGAAGCAGGCCCTCTGTCTCCTCTCCCGCAGAATAAAAAACGAGAACAACCTGAACAGGGACCTTCAGCAGTTTTGCATGGACCCCCTGCCGCTGACAGCCAACCAGTGTGACTGAACTTCTGCCAGCAACACTTCCAAAGGGTGAGGCCCAGAAGGCCACAGCTTTGATGTGCTCAGTCGGGTAAAATTCCTCTTTGTGGAAGCTTCCCTCTGCTTCCAACGTTATGTCTCCTAAAGAGTGTTTGCACAGAGCTGAGGAGGCCTGGCCTCTCCGTGGCTCCAAGTCAGAGAGACGATAAGGCTTCTCCCCTTCCTCCCTTTCAAAGGCTGCTGCGGTCCCAGGGGCAGGCAGTGCAGGTACCTGCTCCAGCCCCCGGGGAATTTGAGTTTCTTCTCCTCCAGCAAAAAACAAAAAATACATATATAAAATCCAGGTCGAAGGATTCCCTCCGCAAGAGCCGTGGGTAAGAGGAAGCCAGATAAATGTCTGACTTGTGGCCACTGTAAAAGAAAAAGAGAGCAACTGGGAAAAAAAACCAAGTGGTGGGGGCATGAACGGGAGGGGGCTTTTTCTGCAACATTTTCTCGTTTGGAGATCTAAAATCTGCAAGTGTTACGTCAAAGCTTTCTCCAAGTGACTTGATGCGTGTTTTTTGTTGTTGGGTTGCTGCACTCCCGGGACTCATTGGGATGGCAGGATAAAAATTAATTAGAGGCTGTTTGGAGGGGGCTTTGCAAGACAGCCCGAGGCCACGCTTCAGTCTGGTTGTTAGAAGCAGTATCATTGCCGCCTCCTCTCCCAGCGAACAGAGCTGTGCTGGGGCGGCCGGGGGAGCCACAGAACGTTCAACACAGACATCAGAGCCAAGACTTCCTCCCAGAGAGAGTACTTACCACAAACCAGTGGTTCTACCTTCTGACAACCCCAGAAATATGTCTTGTTTCATTTTCAGATTTGTAAGAGGGGTTACATATGAAGCTTACGGACTCCTGATGAAACGCTCCAGGAGGAGGGCTTCTGTCTCTTCCACACCTCTGAATATGACATTCAGGCTGGGCAGAGCCACCAAGCAGGCATAGGAAGGCAAGATCTTTTCCAGCCATGGATATGTCTCCTTTTTTTAGAGAGTGGCAAACTAAAAAAAAAAAAAGCAAAAAGGGTGGAGTGGGGGAAGGTCTAGTAAGTCGGCACGTTTGCACGTGACCAAGGCTGACCAATGATTATTTCACATTCAGAAAATTTACAAGAAAAATAATCCAGCTGCTCTTTCACTCTTCTGGCCTTTATCTCTCTTGCTTCTCTTCCCTTGCCCCATGGTCCCTCACACCTCCTCTCCTCTCTCATCCACACATATTCCTCCTCTACCTGGAGTACTGGCTCTGTGAGTGACCTTGAAGTTTGTTTAATTGGGAACTGGCTCCCTAAATCTGGATAAAATAGTTCGAAGCATGATACCAGTCCTGGCATTTCATCAGCTCCAGGTAGCTTTTACGTCCATGTATTTCACCCCGGAAATGGAGAATGCAAAATGAGCAGATACCTGAGACTCCTTCTTGGGTATATCTTTAACCATCGTACAAGATCGTTTGTACTTAGATAATATAGTTTGTCTCCAGACGAGTGTAAAAACATCAGCTAATTAATCCTTATAACATTTCCTGTGATGCAAGCAATAATTAGGGTCCCTGTTTTATATGGAAAAACTGAGATAGTTCATATTTGTCATGTGCAAAAAAAGACAATCTATGTGTGAGCTCAAAGAAAACTTGGAAACTCCTAGAGCCCTTCCCCTTTCCATAAACTTAGCTGTGTCTATTTTATTGCCTGTAATTGTTTCCTTGCATCATGGTTGGGGTTGGGGAAACCAATGGGAACAATTACCAAAAGAAAAAGAGCAAATGTTTCCCCAAACAGCCATTCCCAAAATGAGTTCACCAGCTGTGTAATATGAAATCACACCATCATGCAACAGTTCAGTAACTTCCTGCTTTCAAAGGTGCGTTCTTTAAGGTGAATCTTATTCCCTTGACCTCAGTAACCTCACGTAAGGAATGATCATAATGCTAACAACATCTTCAGAAGAAACAAGATGACTTCTTCCTAGGAACAGTCATCATCGAATTTGAGCACTTGCCTTGTTTCAGAGTGGAGATAAGACAGGGGTGAGCCAAATTAACGTCACTGCCATTCCTCGTTTGCCTTGTTCTTATTCCCAGATAGACCAGAAATAGTCCCCAGTGCACGGATGATGGTGCCTGGTTAGTGAGCTCAAGGGGTTAGTGAACTCATTTGCTTTCTGCCAAAGGGAGGTGAGAGGGCTGCTCCCTACTTACTGAAGTGAGGGTCAAAGAGTATGGCGTCATAAAGCCAAATCCTCTCCACTAAGTGCTTTCAAAACTAACGAGTCAACCTGAAAATCAATCTGCCGCTTTATAAGCAGCCAGCATATTTAGAATCATGGAAATTAAAGATGGAAAATACCTATTAAGTCTTCTAGATCATTCCCCAGGGCCCAGTGCAGGCTTGTTCCCTGTAGTACATTTGTTAGTGCAGTTTCAGGCCTTATTTTGAGTGTCTCAAGCAATGAACCTAAAGGAACCAGAGATAGTGGTGTGTGCCCACCCCAGTGAACAATGATCATGGGATTAGAATTCTAGCTTCTCACTGGCCTTTGGCATGCCTGGAAGGGGTTTGGATTTCCCAGAGCTTGGCCCATAAGAAACCAGCAGCTTCTAGAGACAGAGACATTAGAGAACATCTTTGCCTGTGTGTGTTAAGCAGAGTAATGTGCTGCCTTTATAAAGCATCCAGGCACTAGCCTCTGTGTAAATAAATAGCCATAAGGGAAGAGCAGAAACACCAGGTGTTCCAGGATTCATTTTAAAACTAAATAAGCCCTACCCCAGGGAATCCAGTCTTTCCTCCCTCAAGTTTTATTTTGGATTGGTCAGCATTCAACTTAACCTTGCTTCCAACTACTGGCAAAATGGAAGAAACATTTTCAGAGACACCAGGACTGTATTCCAGAACGTTCAGGACCAGCTGATACGAAAATAAGGACAAATGGCTTCAGAGTAGTACAGGAAAGGTTTTCTGAGAAAACCTTTTCTCTTTTTATCTCTGTTCCCAGCAAGAGAGGAAGAAAGTCAAATTCACAATTTCAGGTAGGAGAGGCTTTCAACGAGGATAAACAGCAACTAAAGCTAATAGAATCCAGAGAACAAAGGGATCACAGCAGAATGCAAGCAGTGTTCTTTTTTACTTTCCTGGTTGTGAAATAATGGAGAAAGTCCTTTTAGATATTCATGTGATAAATTCCAAATTTGTGCATTGTAAGGTCCAACTCTATTACACGACATGGCTGAAGTAAAAACTGAGTCACCAGTCCAGTGCAGAAACTATACAAGTTTTCTACACCAAGAATCAGGAAAGCATTACCCCTTCACATTTCCAGGAATAGGAATAGCTGTCCTTCAAAGGATTCTCTTGCCCTCCTTTCTGAACTAAAGAATCAGGACCTTTTTTTTGCCAAATACTTTAAGCAAAACTGAACTTTTAAAAGCCCGAAGTTTGACTCACTGGCCGGCGATACATTCACTTCTGAAGTCCCCCCAGCCCCCTCCTTCTTTACCATAGGCCTTTTCTCTTTCACCCTAAAACATTATCTCATCTCAGCATTGCAGCTTTTTTTAAGTTCAATGTCAATAGCTAGTTAGGAGAGGGCAGGAGGGTCAGGGATTAGGACTCCAAACTGTCCTTGACGTTTCTCTGTAGGCTGATCTGCTGTTTGCATCAGCCCAATAAAAAGGGGGGAAAAAATCCCTCTTTACTATCTGAGAAAAGATCAGAACAGGAAAATGTCAGTTTGAGAGCTGACAGAATTCTGATAAGAATGAACTGGAAATGAGAGAAAGAAAGGACAAAATGCTGTCACTCTAAGAAGTTTTTAATTTAATGTTTTTAGACAAATATGTTTCCCGCTGAGTGTGTATGTATTTTTCACACACAACTTTTCCATCCCTCCACCTCTTTTCTAAACGCTCTTACTGAGAGAAAGCCTGTCTATTTTGATTTGATTTGATTTGATTTTTACGGTCTTTCCACAACCTTTTAAAGATCTGGAAGGGTCAGCCTTCTTGGCCTGAAAGCTGTGAGCACATTCACTCCCACAGAATTTCTTCTAAACCCTGAAATAGTTTCCACTTTCAGAAGTATCTATACATATTTTTAGAGTTAGAGAGATAATTTAAATTCTCAGGCTTAATTGAACCGACAGAAAGAGAACGGAGAGCTACAGATGGAAACACTTTCCGAGTGTGCCGACCTCTGAGTTCAAATTTAATACCTACATAATAAAGACTTGAAGATAATAATGGGCATTGTTTCTATTGCCTTTTTTTTTCTTTTTTACTTATATTACAACTTTATTATTTGAGGAAATGGCCAGTGTTTTTAAATACAGTTACATGAATCAAGAAATGACCCTCATTAAAAGATATTTTTCATGAAAAAAAGGCCAAGTTCTTTGATGAATAAAACACTCAGTAAGAGTTAAGTGCTCTTCTGAGTGAAAAAAAAAGTTTTTTTTCTAGAAACCAGAGAATTGCCTACTCTACTAGCAAAGCATTTATTGAGTACTTACTATATCCCTGGGACTCTCTCTACTAGGCATTTCAAATCATCCCATTTAATCCTTACAATAACTTAATGAGGTAGATACTATTATCCACTTTTGCAATTGAGGAGTGTGAGGCTAAAAGAGGCTAGATCTTGCCCCAAATCACACACCCACGTTGTGACAGACCCAGTATGTACACCTGGTGGGGTTGCTAAGCATCCTGTATGTACAGGACATGTCCTGTATTTAACGATTTTGTCCTGAGTCCTCATTCACTTTGTCAGGACTCCTTAAGTATTTTTCCAAGAAATGACAAAAATTCATTAGAGCAATTTTCAAATTGAATTTGGTGTTCTGTATTTTTATTTGCAAGTAACCCTAACATCTGAGTTTCATGATCTCAAATCCAGAGGTTTACTCCTCTTCCACACAGAAGGAATGGCTCATTCTGGACATCTGCTTACTCCTTGATGAAACAAACAGTATATACATTAAGTTTGATCTATAATATTTACAAGTGTGAACTCTTAAGTCAGTTAAATTTGGGTTCAAATTCCACTTGCAAGTTGTGTGACCTTGGGCAAGTTTCTCAACTTCTCTAAGCCTAAGGTTGCCAATCTGTAAAATGAGAGTAAGAATAGTGGAGATAAAGAAACAGAACCCATGCAATATAACATTTAACCTAATTACTGACACATAGTAAGTGTTCAGGAAATATTAGCTATTACATACACCCTCAAAATCATTTTCATGTGGTCCTTCTAAAGCCTAGATCTTCTCAGTCCATTCCCTTGCTTTAAACCATTCACTGCTATAAGAGACCATGCAAATTCCTTACCTTTGTAAATGATTTCTTCTTTGTACTGGTCCTGCCAAACTTTCCAGTCCTGTTTTCTACTACCACACATAGGAGATCGTCAATAAATGTTTGTCAAGGTGACCTGTTGAATATAACTCTAAATTTGATTTAGGAAACAATTTTTTGATGTTCCCAAGAGTTACTCTTTTCTTTTTCCGGGTTTAAGTATGAATTCTGTTTCTCCCAAATATGAAGCCCTGGTGGCATAGTGGTTAAGTGCTATGGCTGCTAACCAAGTGGTCAGCAGTTCGAACCCATCAGGGGCTCCTTGGAAACCCTATGGGGCAGTTCTCCTCTGTCCTATAGGGTCACTAAGGGTTGGAATTGACTCCACGGTAACAGGTTTTTTGGTAATGAATCCTTGGATCTCCTCATCTTAGATGCAATTCACTTTATAATTAAAGATGCCAGGTGACTTAGGATGTCCTAGAACCCTACAAGCCAGAAAACCTCATGGAGTGGCTGCAATGCTAGAGAAAGTATCAATAGGAAGACTTTGAACGGGAAAAGAGCCCCGGGGTTTAACAACTCTCCAGTGATGCCATCCACAGCTCGCCACCCACCATCCCTCTGACCAAGCCCATCTTAGGTCAATCTCTGCTTGGGGAGTAGTATGCCTCCTGTCTCAGAAGTTTGTTGTTGTTAGCTAC